TTGAAAACTTTTAACCAAAAATAATATTTTAGTGCAATAAATAAGTATTTACATAAGTGCAGTGCAAAAAATCCCAAGGAAATTTCAATTTACTTTACCTCAATTTACTCACACTCGCACACGTCCTTAGATGTCATAGTGTAAATATCTTGCAGTAATACCTTTTATAAATATTATCAAAATATATATTTTACATATTTTACATTTTTCAGTTTTTTTTGCAGTGTATTATCTGTAAATTTTATAATCAAAAGCGATCTATCAAAATCAACACAAAATGTACTTGAGAATATGAATTAAATTAATAGAAAAGAAATTATTTTTCTGAAATGTTAAGCTAATACAATAGATAATACGACCACAATAAATGACAAAGGAGCAAAAAAGAAAAGAATAAATACAACAACAACAACAACAATAATAAAATATGGTAGCAGCAGGAAAAAAAGAAAACAGCATAAAAATTGGTAACATCTTTACCGTTAAATATTTTCTAAATGCATAAGCATTTTCAATATAAAAATTATAAACAATTATAATTAATAAATATAAAATTTTATAATAATTTTTTTTATTTTTGTTTTGTTTCAAATTATAAATACATTTCTAGCTAAAAAATTTTTTAAAAATGACTTACCCCGTATTAAAATATCGTACCTTAAAGGAAGAGTGTGTGGCGAGTGGAAGAGTGGCGCTATAGATTACGCAGAAAGGCAGGGAAAAAAGGAATAAGCAAATTTTTACTTAAGTCATGCAAATACAAAATTTTTTTTTGGAATATTTAAATATAATTATTAAAAAACAAAAACTTTTTAACTTTTTACTTAAATGCAAATTTGATTTAATCTATTAAAATTAAATTTATTCTTAAATAAATTGGCAATTTAAATAAATTTCACGACGGCGTTTTAAACACACAATTTAAATACTTTTATTTGATTTTTTCACAACATTATTATTATTTTTTGTATATATTATATATTTGCAATTAATATATGAACTTAATCATTATTATTTCACATTATATTAACTTTATTATTTAAATTTAAAAATTACATAATCCATTATAATTCATACACTCACATTTGCTTTAACGGACTTTTTGCAACTGACGTCACTTGACTGCTGTCAATCAAACTCCCTTTCACGTTAGTGTTTTCGCCGCATATCAGATCAGTTTGGCAGTAGCAAACATAAAAATTAAAACAAGGCTAATTGATGCAATGAAAATGAAAATTGGTTATTAACTTTTAACAAATGTTAATAGTTTATATAAATTAATTTAATTTTATATTAATAATAACTTAAAGTTATTAAATATTTTAACCTCTTAACCCTTTTAATTTTCTCCAATTTATTCCTATTGTGGCGAAATAAAGATTCTACCGGTTTGTGGTTTTAATATAAAAATTTTCTAATTTGAAACCTTATACTTCGAAAACTGAACTATATTGACATATAGAATGGTGCAGAAGAGTAGCTATGTTGGAGTAGAAGCGCCACTATATTATAAGAAAAAATTAAACACTTTTCATCGTACTAATCTTTCAAAAAATTCAAGATGATATACTGAACAGTTCGAATTGGAATCATCTAAAAAGAAATACTTGTTTCTGCCATTTGAGTATATCAAGGCCTTCCCACTTTGGCTCATGGAAAAAAAATTATTCAAAATAATTTTATTTAATAAAATCCACAATGGACCAATCATCGTAAGTAGTTCTTATATTATGTTTTCACTGGTCCCTCTTATGTAAAATGTAAACAAACAAAAAAAATTTTACAATAACTTAAACTTACTTACAATAAGTTTTAAAATCATCACTAATTACATAACATCAAAATTAATAGTTCTATGTTTTTCCTTAAAACAGAACTGGTAGGTGGGTATTAGGTTTTGACCGTCAAGAAATGGTTTCAGCTTTAAAATTGTCTTTTAAAGAGTTTAGAAAGGCATGGCAGTAAGATTATTGGCCTATATGAAGAGACAAGCGTGGGATGTTTGCCTAATTTATGAGTCATAACAATCATGGATCTTTTCCACTCTATTGGGTAAAAGCCAAATTTAATAATGGCATTAAATAGTATCGCGATAAAATTTTTGACCCAAAAGGGGCAAGTTTTTTATCATGATGGGTGAGATGTTATCATATCCTGGTGCCTTTTGAGAGTATGCATATAGCCGCTGAGTGGGAAAGTCATAATGTCCTTTTGCAGGTTTTAGTTGAAACACGTCTTATAGGTAATCAGCAAAAGCATTAGAAGTTGAAAAGTTAAAAATCAGGTTTTTCTCGCAAAAATGTTCACGTCTTAAGTTTTAAGGCAGCCAAATTATAATATTCTAAAGATTTTTATGAGTCTGAAGATTTTAAAAACATTATTGTTGCTTCACATGATTTCTTTTGTAAGTTGCGAGTAGTTTTTTGCTAATCTGAAAGAAAAAATTACGGCTTAATATAAAATTAAAAACTAAATTGAATAAAGAATTAAAAGCAATGTTAAGGATGCACAAAATTTTGAAAGTTCCTTTTATAACAAAAATAATAAGAGTTTACAATATTTATGCCTTAATACGCATTAACTTGTTAGTAACTAATAAATAGGGCCGGAACCTTTTTGTTGACTAGAACATAGTACACTCTGATAAAAACAAAGGAGAACAGGGAAAAAAATGAATTACTGGGATAATATACCAGGATTAAAACAATCTAAATTACCTTTTGGTACTTATAACAATAAGAGATACCACGACTGTATGAACTTATCAAAAGAAAAACTAATAATATTAGATACATTTCACTCCCAACAACAAGACTTATGCATTTTATAATTGAATATACCATAATTATAATGTTCCTAATTCTATTCTACGCTGTTTATTGATATTAAGTGCCAATGGACAATTTATCGTTGCTTCTAGAATTTATAAAATACTGTAGCTATATAAAATATGATATAAACCTGATGCGTCAAAATGCAAAAACAAATTATATTCAATAAATTTCAATGAAGTAAAATATATTGCTTGTTTCATTATTCTTGTTATAATTTTAATTTTAAAATTTTATTTTAATCCAACAACTTGCAACAATTGTTAACAAAACATAGATTAACAATTTCCTATTGGGATTGTGAAAAGAGAATTATATGAGAAATAGTTTACAAGAGTAGTTATGAGTATATTGTCACCCCTATGACAATGCAAAAATTATAAATTCTATCAAAAATAATAAATAAATAAAATAAAATAAATTTTGTTTTTGGACAATGCAAAAATTATAAATTCTATCAAAAATAATAAATTCTATAAGATGTCGCAGTTCGCTCTTATACACTTTAGAGCTTTCGTTGAAGCATACCAACATTGGGTGTCCAATGAACACAATCCACATTTTCTACATACCATATATTTTGTTATTATGATTTTAACAGAAATTAATACAATTCTGTTAAAGAAAGTAAGATCACAACATGCATTTGTAATAATTGTTTATATGACGTCTTCACTAGACAAAGCAAATTGTTGCTTATTTTTAGTGCTTTAAGCAAATCACTTTTTTGCAAATATTCATGAATGGAAAAATATATTTGCTTATTTACTTGAAGAAAACAAGTATTGTAACAAAAAATTATTGTTACGTATGTACATATGCACATATTCTTCACATATTTATATATATTGATTGTTAAAATAATTTTAAATATTAGAAAAACGATAATTTATGCATTGACACATTAAATGAATTAAACTGCCTTGAATAAAATTTGGTACACTATTTCTATGATATGTTTTATTGAAAAATATGTTATAGTAATATTCCAGTTAATTTATTTATTTTTAATATGTTTTAATATATCAATTTTAATAGTTATATTATAATATTATAATATATGTACTATAATATGCTTAAAATTAATAACTATTAATAAAAATATTAATATTAAAATAGTTATACATATAATAATAAATTATTTAGAATAAGTTTGTAGAATTAATTATACTACATTGTATAACTTTTGTGGATATGTTTGGGTTAGATATATTTCACTCCCAACAAAAAGACGTACATATGTATTTAACAATAAAACATACAACAGGAATAGTGTACCTAATATTATTCAACGCAGTTTAATTGAAATTAAGTGCCAATGGACAAATTATCGTTGCTTCTAAAATTTATAAAATACTGTGGCTATCAAAACAAGTACACATAAAATAAAAACAATTAAAATATGATTTGAAACTTGTTTTCTTCAAATAAATTTTTATAAAGTGATATAAATAAATATATAGAGAATATGTGCATATGTACATATGTAACAATAATTTTTTGTTACAACACTTGTTTTCTTCAAGTAAATAAGCAAACATTTTCTTTCATTAATAAATTTTTACAAAAAATTGATCTGCTTAAAGTAGTAAAAATAAGCAACAATTTGCTTTGTCTAGTGAAGACGTCATATAAACAATTATTACAAATGCATGTTGTGATCTTACTTTCTTTAACAGAATTGTATTAATTTCTGTTAAAATCATAATAACAAAATATATGGTATGTAGAAAATGTGGATTGTGTTCATTGGACACCCAATGTTGGTATGCTTCAACGAAAGCTCTAAAGTGTATAAGAGCGAACTGCGACATCTTATAGAATTTATTATTTTTGATTTAAGTTCAACCAGAGTTGTTATTGTAAAATTATTCGAACAAATACAATAAAACAGATGATAATCGCGCCTAAACTGACCGCCAGCAATAACAAAAACAAAACATTACAAAGAAAAAATGAGAAAAGCAAAGAGAATAGCGGCTTTTGCTAATAAATAAAATTATTTGTTTAAGCTTTTGCATTTGTTGCTTTTAAGCGAACTTTCTTTCAAAAGAAAATTTAATCGGTTTTCAGTTGTGCGCTGGCAGGCGAGCACATAAGTTTTAATATAAATTTATTGGAAATAATACTATTTTTAATTAAAAACTTGAAAATAATAATTGTTTAAAATATAATTAAGAATATATTGATTATATATATAATTATAGAGCTAATCAACCGCACTAAATAATTATAACAACAAAAATGAGATTCATTCTCATCAGCGCCATTTTATTGGCAATTATAGCGACAGGTAAAATCATTAAATTAACCTAATAATTAATTAAATTTAATTATGTGGACGTATGTATATTTAAATAGAATAAATAAAATTGTGAAATATAATATTTTCTATTGATTTCAAATGAAAAAATATATTATAAAATTTGTTTTTCACTGATTGCAGTTCCAATTGTATTTCATATGGAAAATAAAAAACAAAAACAAATTATTAACCGATTAAGTTTCTTTGTTGTTGTAGAATTTATCAACTTAGTTCTACGGTTTCAAGTGAATCAACTAATATTGTTATTATAAATGATTTAATCAGAAAAAAATAGTTGCCAACTCCCCAGCTGTGCTCGGTGGAATCCATATTTTGGTTTATAAAATTATTAACAAATAAAATAATAATAGTAGAAATGGATGTGTGTGTTGACATTATTTTCTATAAAATGGCCGTTGCTTAAAACTAACGAGTATTTATATTTTTCACCTAATATTTCAATCAAATTGTTTAAATTCTAAAATTAATAATACATTTTCTATTATAGCTTATTCCACAAAACCACCAAGATGGGATGCAAACTATATTGTCAAGGGAACATTGTATATTCCATACGCAGAAATATCTGAGCCCTTCTACGCCTGGTACGATAAAAATACACGTCGCTCACGTATTGACTACTACGGCGATATGGTGAAAACCTATCAATTGGCTGGTGACGGAACTTATGGCACCTCATTAAAACTGGCGCCAGTCACAGTGAAAGATTCTTTGAATAAAATCACATGTCTACAGCTGAATGGCACAGAGGAGAGTCGCATAGAAATACAAGCCATTTTACCAAATGCCAAAGACTTCCAACTTATGGGCACAGAAACTTTTCTCGGTTTCACTTGCGATAAATTCCAATTAGAGGAAACAATTGGTCAAAAGAAAAATGTTTATACTCTATGGGTGCGCTATAAGAAATCACCAAAGTATCCTGCTTCACGTATGCCCATACCAGTGCGTTATGAAATGAGGGGCTACAATAGTCTGTTAGGTTCCCACTATGATCATTACTATTTAGACTATGATAGTTATGATCATGATGATATACCAAATGAAGTATTCGAAATAGATGAGAGTAAGTACACAATATATTAACATAGTGAAATTTATCTTAATTAAATATCTTCACTTATTTTAGATTTAACTTGTATGCCATTCCCCGGTCCAGGTAAAGGTCATTATGCTACATTCAATCCCATGCAAGAATTTGTTCATCCTACAGTTGAACACCATGTCGATCAATCTTTTGATCATTTCAAGAAAACACATAATAAAAATTATGCCTCAGAAAATGAGCATGAATATCGTAAAAATATATTCCGTCAAAATTTGCGCTATATACATTCCAGAAATCGTGCCCGCTTAAGTTATAAGCTAGCCGTCAACCACTTAGCTGATAAGACCGAAGACGAATTACAGGCACGACGTGGTTACAAACCATCTGGCGTCTACAATACCGGTAAACCCTTCCCTTATAATGTAAATAAATTGCGCGATAATATACCAAATCAATATGATTGGCGTCTCTACGGCGCTGTAACGCCAGTGAAAGGTATTTTCTTTATGCTACAGAAACTTTTATAAATCATTGATATTTTTGTGCTGTTATTAGATCAATCTGTTTGTGGTTCATGCTGGTCATTTGGTACTATTGGTCATATTGAAGGTGCTTACTTCTTGAAAAATGGTGGCAATTTGGTGCGTTTATCACAGCAGGCGCTTATCGATTGTTCTTGGGGCTATGGCAATAATGGTTGTGATGGTGGTGAAGATTTTCGTGCTTATGGTTGGATGATGGAAATGGGCGGTGTACCAACTGAAGAGGAATATGGTCCTTACTTGGGGCAAGATGGTTATTGTCATGCACAAAATCTTACGCGTGTAGCAGCTATTAAAGGCTTTGTTAATGTTACTGCCAATGATCCAGATGCATTTAAGATTGCAATGCTTAACCATGGGCCGTTGTCGGTTGCAATTGATGCTTCACCTAAATCATTCAGTTTCTATTCTCATGGTGTTTACTACGAACCTACTTGTAAGAATGGCATAGATGAATTGGACCATGCTGTGTTGGCTGTAGGTTTTGGCACTATTAACGGTGAAGATTATTGGTTAGTTAAGAATTCATGGTCCACTTATTGGGGCAATGATGGTTATATTTTAATGTCGCAACGTAAGAATAATTGTGGTGTTATGACTATGCCCACTTATGTTGAGATGTAAAGCCTAACAAACAAATGTTTCTTTATAAAAGAATTTTTTAAAATTAGTTTTCGAATTGATTGAATGGTTTTGTGTTTTTTTATAGTATAAATAAATGATTGTTTAGAAATTAAAATAATTGATGTGTTTTTTTTTTAAGGAAAATATGTCGGTATGAAGTAGCATTACTCAGTCTTCTTAAATCTTATTATACTTGTTTTTTGTAAACCAAATTGTATAGCACTGATCTAACACTCGTCCTCCTTCAGATTATAATATTTATAGAACCCAAATCTAACTATTACATTCTTTTCGGACCTGCTTGCGTAGTCCCTTTTGGGAGTGGGGAACTGCACTCGATCGTTAAATCTAATGAATGTTTCCAGGAAGTAGACCCGATCGTTTTTGGAACCTCCTCTTCACTGTAATCACTTTAAATTTCTATTTCTCTAACTCGGAATCAATGGTTCATAACTCTTTTCTTGTAATCGTTTTCAACTTGTCTCATTTCTATTTCTCTGAACCATTGTTTCCTAACAATTCTCATCCCATACCTAAGAGTTCTTATTGTTGCTGTTCGCTGGAACCTGCTTGCGACATACTTTTGTGAGGTGTCGCATGGCACTTGGTTGTCGCTGGTGACGAGTGGCTCGGGTACGTAAACCCGATCGTTCTTCGAACCCTAAGAGTAGAGTACAGCAATTTCTAAAGTACCTAGTTCTGTTTATCTATTAGTACTATAGTAAACTGTAGTATAGTACCAATAATGGAAAAGCATAAAAAACATGAGACTTTTACGGATTACGAAGAACTGTTAACTGGACGCAAATTGTATTTCCAATTTTAATTTAATTTAGCATTTACATCAAACAATTGAAAGCAACATTATTTTAATGGAATCTTATAGTTTATAAATAGTCAAGCTTTTTGGCTTATTGTTGAGTCTTACTAAACTTAAGGGGTTATTTTTATGTTTTGTATTGATGTCTATGAGATCAAAGTCACAACTATATATAACGTTATCGCATTGACAATAATTACAAAGATTAATCAGTTTTCTAATTATTATTAAGAAATGTAAAGGAATGATACTTTTACGATAGGGTTATCTCAACTATGTGCATATATACATATACTATATGCATAGTATATTGACATTTGAAAAAATTCTTCTGTTTACTTAACAAAGAAATCGAAAGGGTCAACAATATTGACAAACCAACTATTGATAAATTTTATTTATTGTATTTTTCTAGCTTTCTTCCCTTCCTTATGTACAAATCTCAAGCACCACTCCATAGAAACTTTCAACTGATAAGGCTTTAGAAGCTATTCTATATAAGTAAACAATTACAACAAAACTCATAAATTAAAAAAAAAATATATTTTGAAATCCCACTAAGAAACATTTAAAAAGATTTATTATGATTCATAAGTTAAACTTAAGCAACCTCCATTGGAATAGCTTCTTCTGAACTTTCAAAAACTTCGATTTTTGTATTCAAAACTCGTGTGGTACCAAGTTTATAGGTGTAATCCAACTAAAATAGAAACATCAGTTATACGTAATATTTAATAATCATTTACACTACTACTACATACCGTTTTGGGACCACGTTTTCCTAAAATTTCATAGTTACGCAGTATTTCTGTTGAACCTCGTCGAATTACGCATAAATCAATATTAGATCCAGAACCCAAATCATTGTATATACCCGAAGCAATAGCATCACGTACTAACTTTTTCGCATCTTCTTCATTCATATCAGGTTTCCAGCGTGCTTCGAAAACAGCCATAGAGGCTAAGCAACCAGAACCCATAGTTACGTATGGTAACTTATCTGATGAACCGTGTGGATGTATACAACGTATATGAGAACCTTGCATATCAACTCCACCCAAAACTAAAGCAGCGCTAACATGACCCTGATAACGGAACAACAACTGCTTGAGTAAAACACATGCAGCACTTACTGGTACTTCACGTCCAGTATTTAAACGTAACAACTCTAATTGTGAAGCAATCAATTCCGTAGTTTTTTCAGTGTCAGCCGCTGTGCCAGCACCGCAACAACTAAAATGAAAAGAATTTTAATAATCATTTATAATACATATTCACTTTAAACTATTAACTTACTAAATGTTATTTGCTAAGAAGTGTATTTTGGAACAATTTTTGTCTGCCACAATTGGTCCTTCTGTAGCACGCGTATCTGCACCCAATACAACGCCACCACCAAAAATTACACCAGCTATTGTTGTACCAGTCTTAATAGCTTTTGGTGCAACGAAACCTTTACTCAACAGTGAGATGTTTCTATAAATAAAAAGGTAAATGATTTTACATATAACTTTTTCTAATAAAACATTGCAGACTTTTTTGACACTACCAAAAAAAAAATTAGGCTGATATTTAAGCGTTTGGTTTTACCTTGGACAATTCTCAAATGAGAAACCAGATTTTGGTATTTCTTTTGTTTCCATTATTTAAAATTTGGAGTAAAAGCGTTAGTCAATTATACGTAAAACTTTTAACAATTAATAAATTAACTACAAAAACTGCAAGTCAAACGCCGCTAGTAGAATGACAAACAAATTCACTAATGTTGACAGAGTTGCCAGCACAGAGAGTTGTAGCTGTCAAATTATTAATATAGGAAATATTGTTGCCAAGACTTCTTTTCAAACAAAATTTGTTAATATATTCTATTGTTAACATAAATTTGCACTCTCGGGTAGTTATTTTTCGTAGAGTTAGTTTTTTACTTAATAACACTAATTTTTAAATATTTTCTCGTAAAAAAATACTATAAAATACATATCAGTTATTATAAATGACAAAACATTATTATTTATTAAATCTAGTTAGCTAAAAAGCCAATGTGATACTTGCACCCATTGAAAGCATCTCTTGGAAATGCAAATGTACAAGTTTCAACCACTGGGTTTTGGGGGCCAAGAACGGAAACTCCATTTCAGTAATCAAGAGAAAGGCAGACGTTAAAATATAGAAGACTTATCATTTAGAAAACAAATATATCTAAACCGAAATTAAAAATAAATGAGTGAGGGAGGGATGTTCTTACGACAATGTTTTATTTTGCCTTAGTTTATAATAATTATTTACAACATCGCTACATAATAAGGCAATTGCAAATTAAAAATGTAATTAGGGACGAAATTCATAAAATTTAAATTTTTTGCGATCTGATTTTAACTTATCTTTCAAACAATGTGATTCTAACAACCCGTACGAACAAAATAACTATCAAAATTACAACTACTTAAACTCTGTAATTGCCTATAAGATTAATTTCGAAAAATTTTCAGAATGCATACAAATAATAGAATTTTTATTGATTAGGGATTATTGAAGTTCCGTGAAAATTAAATAATTAGCATGCATAACTCTATAGCAAACCATAAAAATTAATTTTTTTTTTTCATTTAATAATATGTACAACCTTATGTCAATTTTCATTCATAACTTTTATAGTTTGTGAATATTGCTCTAACTTATTTATATTATATTCTACTCTAAATATCTGAGAGAGAAAAGAATTTAAGTTAGTTTCTATTAATTTAAAAATACGTTACACAATTTTCCTGCTTGTTACACCAGCGCAATTTACTTTAAAACAAATTGGATCCCATATAATATTGTATATAAATTCTTCTGTCTCAAAGCTTTCCGGATTCAACTAAGCTTAGAGTTCATTCTATTACTGAACTCACACGAGATTTTGTTTGTGATTTTAGCTGTCATGTTTGTAATTTTAGCTGTCAATTGTTGTTGCTTTCAATACAAAATGGTAATTTTTAACAGCTAAAATTACAAACAAAACTCTCGTATAATTTTTAATTTAAATCACTGATACTTTAGAAATCTACACCAGCATGCAGGTAAGCTGGTAACATCTGTTTCCACAGTTCATATTTAAACCGTGTGCGAGTTCGAGTAAATTGAGGTAAAGTATATTGAAATTTACTAGGGATTTCTTCACTGCAATTATGTAAATATTTATTTACTGCACTTATTTATTATTTTTGGCTAAAAGTTTTTAAATTTATTTATTTATTTATTAAACATCTTATAAAACTCACACAATGGTAACACCTAATTTATTTAATATATGTCTAATTTACCCTACTAGAAATTTCGGTAAATACCAACATTCCTATATCGAAATAATTTACTATTTCCCTCAATTTACTCGAACTCGCACACAGCCTTAGTATATAACAAAATAATATGACTTTTAACAGGTTAATTTGCTATAAATAGCGAAATTTTAACAGTTATTTTTTTGGCATGCTAAATAAAGATCTTGAAGAGCTATATTAATAAGATATCTTAATAATTATATGTATACTTTATTATTGCTACATTTATTGATACAATTTGTACTGTTTTAGTTTTTCTTCAAACTTTCTTTCTGATTTAACACTGAAATATCAAAAGTGCTGCCAACGTCAAAAATTCTGTGACATGTCAAAACCATATGATGTTTACAAAGGCTGTTTTGTAACCTCATAAAGGTTTATAAGTAAAAAGTTTTATAAATTAATTTTCGTAGCAGTTCACACTTAACGTAAATAAAACATTAAATAGAAATGGCGCCGAGTGCAACAATATTAGTACCCACTTTTAAATCAGTTGCGAAATTCCACCATTTACAAAATTTACGTAAGTACCGGTTGAAACGTGCACTCTTTAGGGTCTCATAAAATATTTTTGGATTCGAAAATGTGTATAACAGAAAAAACTAAAATTTAATAATTATTTATATGCAGATCGTTGTGCAAGTAGTCTAAGTGCTGCTTTAACGAAACGAAATGAATTATTTGATGAGGAACAACGTAGGCAGAGGGAAGCTGTTGGTCGTATTGAAAAAATTGAAGTGCGTTACTTGGGTTTGCCGGAGGATGCGACGTTAGTTATGAATCGTTCTATATCGACACCATACAACTGTGCGCAGCATTTATCTGAAGGACATTGTAAACGTTCAGCTTTAGCTTTAATCGACGGGAAAGTACCATGGGATATGCATCGACCACTTAAAGATTCATGCACATTGCAATTATTAAATTTTATGGTAGCAGATCCGATAAATGTAAACAAGTACGTAAATATCTACAAAACAGAAATAATTTATTAGCATAATCTTAAAATTTATAATTTTATTATAGAGCTTTTTGGCGTACATGCAGCTTTATGCTTGGTGCTGCCTTACAAAATTGTTTTAAAGATGCAGCCGGATTACAATTGCATAGTTTTCCAGGACCAAATGGTAAGAACAATTACATAAAGATACCAAAATAGTTTATAAACAAACGTTAATTGTAGTAAAATCTGGTAGTTTTGTACATGATATTGCGTTGGGCGTTAAAGAATGGCAACCTACAAATGCTGAACTGCGTGCAATTTCTTCAGAAATGGTCAAATTGGCAGAGAAAGATCTTAAAATTGAGCGTTTAGAAGTTAGCGATGATTTAGCAATAGAAATGTTTAGAGATACACAATATAAAAATGAACAGCTACCAAGTATTTCACAACAGAACCAAGGCCGTGTGGTACTATATCGAATGGGTACACATATTGATATATCACGTGGTCCAATGGTAGGGTCCTCACACTTTTTAGGCAAGTGTACAATTGCAGCAGTACACAAAATTGCTGAAGAAAGTGATAAAGATACGTTATTTAGAATACAAGGCGTTGCTCTGCCCAAAGGTTTTGCATTAAATCATGTAGCATACGGAACATTAGAGAAGAGAGCAAAGAAATTGGTAATTATTGCCGTAATATATATGATTGCCTCAAACAAAATTTATTTAACTTATTTCCTTCAATTTATAGAACCCAGCTCGTCTGCCAACAGAGTCATTTGAAGAAAGTTTCATGCAGTTGGCATGAGAGATGAAGTTTTCCAATGTTTAATATGGAATGTTTTTTATAAAAATAAAATAAATTTTATGATATGTTATTATTAAGCATAATATGTCTTTGATGTCGAAATGTTAAAAAAATAAACAATTGCATAGCAAGTATAGATTTGAATTTTTTGGAATATTTCAGCGAAGCGATGAAGTAAATATTTCCGACAGATTTTATTAACCACAAAAATTATCTGAATAAATGAAATTAGCTTAAATTATTGTATTGTTGTAACACATTATTATTATTACTTTTAGATTTTTTCAGTGTTCTTCAAATATGTTTTATTTAAATTCTACTCATTATTGATTTAACAAACTTATGTTCGTATCATATAGAGCGGGGCTGTCGAAATCAGATGTGATTGCGGGACAATACAATTCACTGTATAGATTGGGGAACCGCAGAAACAAATGCATACGTTCATAGTTGTTTTCGAGAAAAATAAAAATACGATTATAATGTTAAATTTAATTTTATTAATTCAATAATTTAAATTTATATATTTGGTAAACCATAAAAATAAATTAATGAAGTTTCACCAAACACCGAAAGAAAATGTACGTAGATTAGCCGCGGGTTGTGTTTTGGACAGCCCTGATATAGAAGTACGATTCTGATATCTAGACTGATATCGATTTGCCAACAAATTTCAGAAATCCGAGTAATTATTCTAATATGCTGTATGTCTATAACTTTTTTGTCGGGATATTCGACTTTAAAGTTGCAAATCTTTACCTCTAAACTGCTACATAACCTATTTAGATCTCATTAATTGTTGTTTGTGTTATGAATGTACAAAACTTAATTATTAATTAGATAATTCTAGACAACCATGTCTTCTGTTTTTTCCTATAATGAATATAGAAATGTATAACTTTAGTCCCTGGAAACTTGAGAATCAAATTTTATTCGAGCGAATTGAATAAATGTTAAAGTTGACCAGAGTCTGTTGTCACATCGCGACGACTGGAAAATTGGAATTTTCCTAAAATTAAAAATGTATATATGATCGAATCTAAGATATATCTTTCTTCTCAAATCTAAGATTTCATTTTGAATATACTTACGTTTTTAGACTCTGTTATTAAAAAGAAACACTTTATTAAGTTTTTCTTATAATTTTTATTTTAATATTCAATATGAATTAAACTCAATAAGTAATTATAAATATTCTTCATATACCAAATTTTATCATTCTTGTATAAAAAATTTTGTCCACTCATTTTTAATTTGATTTGAACGAAAACAAAAAAAACTTAAAATAACAAATAAAAAGGATTTCTTCCCTCAAGTGATTAAATAATAATTCAAATAATAAAAAACTAACAAAAAAATAATGAAACAAATTAATAATAATAAAACAATAACAAAAAAAAAATAACATAAAAAAATAAAAAAAAATAACAAAAAAAATTTTAAATAATCGTTATTAGAAAAACGTTTTCAAAATTAATAATAAAAAAAAAATTAATAATAAAAAAAAAATTAATAATAAAAAAAAAAATTAATAATAAAAAAAAAATTAATAATAAAAAAAAGTTAATAATAAAAAAAAATTAATATTTACAAAAATGATCAAATATATTTTTTATCGTTTAAAAATAATGATATAAATCTTATATATAAAATTAACATTGTAAAAATGTTAGTTACCGTACTCCTCCGAAACGGCTTTACCGATTTTTACCAAATTTTATATGCGTATTCAGTAGGTCTGGGAATCGGCTACTATCTATTTTTCATACCGCTAAAGTGATTAGGGTGTCTCTATCCAGCAAAAATATCTTTATTGCTTTAACAAAAAATTTTTTATTTTTTTGACATAAATTTTTTTATATTTTTGAAAAAGAAAACTTGCTATGATATGAAAAGTTGTCTATGAAAATACTAAATTCATAAAGCTGCCCCCTAATTTCTGCACT